TTCCTAAGTCTACAGCAAATTAATTGGTAGCACAAATCTGACCTGAATTGCTGTGAGACTAATTATGGTCTTTAAAAATATCTCACCTACAGTAACTGTAATAGAATTCTCTGTAGAAATATTCTGTGCTTGATTTTGGGGTGCTGCCCAGACACTCTGGGGGCATCACACCATATATAGTAGAAGCACCATAGTCCTTTCTAAAATCTGAAAAATTCTTCATTTCTAAACTCAGCTGGTCCAAAGGCCTTGGCTGAGGGATGGTGCACCTGGACACTAATCTCAAAAAAAAAACTTAGAGGGGCCTGGTACCTGCCCAGGTCACAGCTCGTGTGACAGTGCCGAGATTCCAGCTCAGCTTCCCTGACTCAGAGCCTGGGGACAAAGTGCGGACACCGTGGCCTGGCCTCTTTGCACCCTGCTGGGCGGTGTGTCGTCAGAGAAATAAGATGAGGAGACAGGTCTGGAGGGACCTGCTGGCAGTGGGCCCCGGGGGAGAAGTGGGACAAGTGCTTGACTTTGCTTTCTCTCTAATCCGCACCTGGGTTGGGGTGGACAGGACGGGGGAGAGTAAGGATGGAAGAGGCAGATAGGTTGCAGGAAAGAGAAAGCCTTTGGCTTTTTCCATTGCCTACAGTGCTGCTTTTCAAACTTACTTTTTTTTCGATTATTCGTTTTACTTTTTTTTGGTTGTTGTTGAAAATTTACAAAACAAAACATACACCAGTTCAACAATTTCTACATGTAGAATTCAGTGACATTGATTACATTGTTCAAATTGTGCAATCGTTTACATCCCGCTTTTCCTAATCGATCCTCCCCCATTAACATAAATTCCCTGTCCCCAAGCTTCCTATCTAACCTTTGAGTTGCTGTTGTCAGTTTGATCCCATATAGATAGTCCTTTAAAAGAGCCCAATGCTCAAGGCAGACATTCTTTACTAAGTAAGCTAAACTATAGTTTGGTTTGAAAAAGACTTTAGGGGATATTTTTGGTTTTAAGGTTTAAAAATTATCTCAGGGCAATACTTTTGGGGGTTTATCCAGCCCCAGTGGCTCCAAAAGTCTGGAATCCATGAGAATTTGAAATTCTGCTCTGCATTTTTCCCACTTTTGATCAGGATTCTGCTATAGAATCTCTTCAGACTTTATCACACATCCCTATCAGTCAAAAACTTTTTGAGCATGTACCCCCAGCATATGGATATTGACATAGTTCTTATTTTATACATGCATCACCTTACTGCTAAGGTCTCTGGGTGGCGCAAACGGTTTGCACTCAACTGCTAACCTAAAGGTTGGCTGTTCATATTCACCCAGCAGTGCTATGGAAGAAAAGTCCTGGCAATCTGCATTCATTAAGATTACAGCCAAGAAAACGCTATGGAGTACTTCTACTCTGTAACACATGGGGTCGCCATGGGTCAGAATCAACTCCATGGCTACGAATTTGGTGGGTTTTTTTTTTTTTACCTTACTGTTACACTGCGTGCATAGTAGAATGTACACCAAAACTAGAAATTAGAGGATGAGAAAAAGATGTAAAATTTTTAAAAATTATTTTCATTTTGTTGATGATACGAAAACCTTTTCATATGCCTGATTAGTTTTGGAAACGGTACTTTAATGAGTGCTCTGTGATAGAGCAGTTGGAAGGTCTGGTGCTGTGTTCAGTTTACTCAGATACTTGGAATGGCGGCTCTCCCTGAAAAAAAGATGTCTGGCCAGGCCACGTTGCTACACGTGGAGGAAATGCATCACTGCCTTTCTTCCTAGATCGGGTTACTCATTTTTCCATTCCATCCACCCAGTATGCAAAGGATTTGTTGACATTTGGCTAGTACATTTCCATTCTCCCTGACGCCAGCCAGATGTTTTTGTAAACTAAATGGCAGGTATTCTGTTTCAAAGTTCTTAACAGATGACTCCAAAATCCACTCAGATGTTTTAGAGATTTTTTTAACAGGTTAGAAAAATCTGCTATGATGCATTTTAGGAATTCAGGTATGAGAGTTTTTATAGATGAGAGACTTATTTTTTGGTAACAAAATCCTACAACAGTAGAAACATTTCCAACCAGACTCTTTCAGAATGCTGTGTCCCAAGCCTGGGTTTCTTTCAAAGAGCAGTTCCTTTCTCATTCAGTGTTATAACATGCTTTCCCTGTGAAGGGACATATAAACATGGTTAAAGGTGTTTTGAAAAGATCTGCTGGGAAGCATATCTCTGATAGCCAGTTGTCATAGAAGAAATGGGCAAATTTAGAACAAATTTTTGTGAAAGAAAGATGTGTAACCCATTTGTTGGGTTTGACAACTCTTTTTGATTGCTTTTCTGCAAGATAGCCAGTAATCTCTGATACAGAATATTTTCTGAGTCACTTCCCATCTTATTACAAATTTTGTAGAAAATTCTACTGTTCTACTGTTTAAAGGTTTCTATTTTGGAGAATTTCAAACATAACACAAAAGTAGAGTAGATAGGGTAATGAATATCTTCTACCTTCCCATCACTAGCATCAGCATTTGCAACATTTTACCAATCTTGTTTCCTATCTCTCTCCCTTCTTTTTTAGAGTAAAGCCCCCGACCTCATATGATTTTTTACCCCTAAATACTTTAGCATGGAGTCCCTGGGTGGAGCAAACGAGTAAGCATTCCACTACTAGCTAAAAGGTTGATGGCTGACTGTGTTGTTTGTTTTTACTGTTGAGCTTTGAGCATTCTTTATATATTCTAGTTGCTAGTCATTTGTTGGCTACCTGGTTTGCAAATATTTTGTCTCACTCTGTAGCTTGTCTTTTCATTCCCTTAACAGGATCTTTTACAGCGCAAAAGTTTTTAATTTTGGTGACTCAAGTTATTAACTTTTTTCTTTTATGGATCGTGCCTTTGGTGTCAAGTCTAAGAACTCTTTGCCTAGCCCTGTGTTTCAAAGATTTTCCCCAGTTTTTTTCTAAAAAGTTAAATCCATTTTCTAAAATTTAAATCTGTGGTCCTTATTAAATTAATGTTTGTATATAGTGTGAGGTTTAGGTTAAGTTTCATTTATTTTGTCTATGGATGTCCAATTGTTCCAGCGCCATTTGTTGAAAAGATTATCTTTTCTCCATTGATAAAGACTTTTATTTTTACATACCCACCATGCCATTGTCACACCTGACAAAAGTGACAATAATTCCTTTGTATTATTTATTTCATGTATATCTTTTAATCTCTGGGTTGTTAGCATCAGGACCCAAACAAGGTCCACACGTTACATTTAGTTATAATGTCTCTTATTCTATGTCTTAGTTACTTAGTACTGCTGTAACACAAATACCAGAGATGTGTGGCTTTAAAGAACAGAAATTTATTTTCTCACAGTTCTGGAGGCTAAAAGTCCAAATCAGGATGTTGACCTTGTCAGTTCCTTCCTTATCAGTAGCCCCAGGCTTTCTTGGGTCTTGGTGATCCTCACATGGTATCTGTCTTCCCAAGTATGTGCTCACTTGTCTCTGTGTCTGTGCTGCTCCTTATAAAACTCAGAAGTGATTAGGTTTAGAATCCACCCTACACTGGTAGGTTATCAGTTGATTGGTTGATCACATTACATTAGATTGCATTATGGAAGGTGATTATATTACATTAGATTATATTACATTACATTCACAGGCACAGGGACCAGGATTTCAATACATATTTTTGGGGGACACAGTTCAATTCTTAACATTCTACAACAGCCCCCACATTTGTTTTTAAGTCATTAATTTGTGGAGAAACAGGGTCATTTGTCCTCTAGGCTGCTGTTTCCTCATGGTGTCATTTAACTTGTTCCTTTACGTTGTATTTCCTGGACACTGGTGGTTAGTTCTAGAGGCTTGTTTAGATTCCAGTTCACTTTGTTTGGGCAAGAATCCTTCTAAGGTGTTGTGTGCTTCCTGGGCACCCCATAAGGAGGCTGGGAATGTCTGACTGCCCCATTTTAGCAGTGCTAATACTGACCGTGGGTTTAGATGGTGTCTTGTCTGAGCCACCCACTATCAGGTTCCCATCAGCCTTTCACCTAATGGTTTCATCATCTGTTGGTGATCCGTATCTTCATCTATTATTTTATGAAGGTTGCAAAATGGTCATTTTTATTCTATTATTCTATCTCCATCTATGAACAGGACTTCTAAAAAGCAGAACTTTGCCTTATCAATTATATAATTACCCTGAAATATTAAAGATGAGGAAACCGAGGCTCCAAGGGGTGAAGTCATTTGCCCAGGCTAGGAGGTGGGGAAGTCTGGTGGGAATCCAGCTGCATGACCTCAAGGCTAAAGCTTGGTTATGCCTGTTCCCTACTTTCAGACTCCACCGAAAAGTCACCACCACTTTGAAGCCCTCCCTGATTCTTTACCCGGCCTTGGCAAAGCCAGGTGGTGCTTCCCTGGGCTCCCTGGGTGCTGTGCACCCACCTTTTGTGCAGTGCAAGGGAAGAAGCCTCCAGGTCACCCTGTCATGCTGGAGTCGGCCAGAGCTGGGAGCTCCTAGAGGCCAAGGTTGGGTCTTCCAGTGCCCAGCATGGTGTCTAGACACCTCTGGACATGTTAGAAAGATGACTCCAGCATTAGCCTGAGGCAGGGATGGATTACCCAATAAGCAAGATAGGCACGAGCTTAATTGTGCTTACTTACTAACCTGTAGTGCACAATTTCACCTCAGTTTCACCACATCAAAGAGGTAAAACCCAGGTGAAGTTGTGCACTACAGATTAGTAAGTAAACACAACGAAGCCTGTGCCTACCTTGCTTCCTGTAAGCCAGTGCATACTGTGCTTATGGGTTAATCCGCCCCCGCTCGGAGGGCCCTCTGCATGACCCTGGAAGAGGTCTAACATTCAGTCAGTTAAGAAAATAATGGGCACCTGCCAGTGCACCTTGGCTCCTGAGCCACATCCCCACTGCCTCAGGGGGCTGACTGCATTGAAAAGGGAGCCATGGAGGCCCTTTCCCCAGCGAGCAAAGGGCTACACCAGCCAGCATTGCCCTGAGACTGTGCCTGGCCAGCATCCTGCTTGCTCATGGTACCCGGGCAGGCAAGAGACCCTTCCCGGGTAGGTGCCTGTCCTGAATGTGAAAGGATTGGACCCTGTTATCCATCCCCCAACAGACACCAGGAACTACTTGCCAGGGTCTAACATTATGTGAACTGTACAGTGAGTACATTTGAAGGCCTTCATGTGCCACCTGGTGCCTGGGAGCAAGGTGACCAGTTGATTAATGGCCACTGAGGCACCACTGAGGGCCTCTGCGCCTCCCTGTCTTGAGTGCCGAGGCCCATACATCTGTGATTCAGAATACTGCTTTAAGTATTTTTTGGTGATAGTATGAAAACCCTTGAGCCATTTGGTGCTACCCTAGGGTGTTATGAAACCAAGTTCCAAATCGTTCTCATCTGAAATGTGGATAATGTTATTTATTTCAGAGTTGCTGCGAGAAAAAACATGAGATAACATTTGGGAAATGGTTTGTAAACCCTGAAGGCTGCCCAAGAGTAAGGTGAGCCGTGTGGTCGGTCCCAGGGCCTAGTGCAGAGATGGCTGGGCATGGGCCAGGCTGCAGAACACCCGTCGCTGTGGCTTCCCGCCACCAAGGAGCATCTTTTTCCCCCTCTGCAAGGAGAGTCTCCAGGCTGTGGGGCTGTGGTAGGACCTGTGTGACCCATGTCCTGGGAGAAGGCTCCAGAGATGGAGGGGCAACTCATCCTGGCCCTTCCTTGTGGGGGGTGGGAGATGTGTTTATAGGATCTGGGTTTGTGTCCTGGCTCTTTGATTTGGGGAGGAAGTCACCCAACCACAGTGAGTGAACTTCTGCCTTATTGCCTGCATTGGGAATAGGAGAGACTCTGTGTCTTAGCTAGCTAGTGCTAAAACCAAACCAAACCAAACCAAACTCATTGCTGTCGAGTTGATTCCAACCATTAGTGACCCTGTAGAATGCAGTAGAACCACCCCATAGGGTTTCCGAGGAGCAGCTGGTGGATTAGAACTTCTGACATTTTGGTTAGCAGCCAAACGTAACAAAAGCACCACAGTGGGTGGTTTAAAGAACAGACATTTATTTTCTCACAGGTCTGGAGGCTGAAAGTCTAAATCAGGGTCTTGGGCGTTTTGTCAATTCTTTCTGCGGACTCCCTCCTAGTGTCTGCTGACTGCCAGTAATCCTTGGCGTTCCTTTGCTGCTTATAGATGTGTTTGTGGCGGCATCTCTCCTGTGTGTGTCTGTGTCTGTTCTGCTCTTTTTATAAGAGGCCCCTCAGAGGTGATTAGATTTAGGACCCACCCTACTCTGACATGACTTTATTATAACAGAAGAAACCCCTGTTTCCAAACAAGGTCATATTCACGTGTAAAGGGGTTAGGACTAAAACAGAACTTTTGAGGGGGCACAATTCAAGCTGTAAATACTGTGAGTGTCGAGTGGCACTCTTAGAAGGGCATTTGAGTGTGACTAACCAAAGTCCCAGAAGAACTGAGCCCCAGGCCTTCAGCTGCCCCAGGCCTTCCAGATTCCATAAACCGGAATAGATGCCCTGGCCAGTGCCCACTCCCTGGGGAGGCCCCAGAGCTGTTGCGGTTGCCCCTTTCCAGGGATTCTACCCACAGGACTTCTCAGTCTGGCCTTAAGTCACTAATGGAATAGCCTTTGACATCCCCCAACTTCACTGAGAAGACATCAACTTAGGAGTATGTGTGCTTCCTCCAGCCCCTCCACAGTTCCCTGTGTTTTATTCACTTAATTTGGGATGGTAGACTAAGATGATGATTTACAACCCAAATCTGTTTTAGGGATTATTTTTGGCACCAGTTTGCAATTTTGCAACCATACTTACAGGCGATATTATTAGACTTGTCGCTGTGTCTCTTTTTCAAAGCTTGCCACCAATCTTTATATAGACACCTTTTCCATTTTTGAGTTTCTTTATGTAGATGCCCTCTCCATTTTTGAGTTTTTCATGTCGATTCATCTCTTGGTTGATGTGTTAGAGATTATTTATTTTTATAGGAAAAGAGCAAGGTGAAGAGCTGTCACAGTGTAAAAACTTAGAGCTGGAGCAGATGTGGTGTAGATGGGGGCAGAGGATGCTGGAGAGATTGAAGAAGAGCTTGAGGGCAGAGCTGGGAAGCATGGGAAGCCTCTTTTCAGCTGAGGAAACCAAAGGCAAGAAGGCCCCTGAATCCTGGGGTCAGGCTGCAGGCCCGTTACACCCCGGGAAGGCCCAGGGAAGCCTTCTGTCTGTGTCAGTATATTTTAGGTTAGAAATCAGCTCTCTGAGTTGAGATAGCATCATCTGTCTGACATTGAGGTTCAGGCCCAGATGGTTGGGTTTTGGGGTTTGGCCACTTTATGGGTCAGATAGCAGAGACCCTCAGGGGCCCGGCGAACCTCTGGCTAGTTGGTGGTGGAGCTGAAACTCCATCTGGGGCCAGGGTTTTTTCCGCAGTGTTCACACTACCTGCTTCACATCTTTTAAAACTATGTCTCCATCTCATCAGCTCGTCAGCTGTTCCTCTGGTTGCACTTCAGCTTCTTGCCAAAGTGTGCAACTGGGGCTGACTCAGTCCTCCAGGTTGTTGCTGGGAGACTCGGTGACCCTGAGCGTGGCATTTACCAGCCCGTCAACAGGGGGCAGCACTGACAACAGGACACCGCTGTCAGGGCTGTGGGGATGGAGGAAGGGCCAGCCATCCCCAGAGGATGTTCTCAGGTGATCCTGAAGGACAGCTTCACTTTTAGCAAGTGGTTCCAGCCTCCAGCCTGGAATTGGTTTCTGCATGTAAACTTCTGAAGAGAACTCAACAGTGCTTCTTGGGGTGACTTCTGGGTTACTTTTCCATGTGAAGTAGTTCATTTGTTACCACTGGTACTGAAGACGTCACTGGTCACTGGGAAGCGTGGGGCTGGAATGCGAGCCCGCCTGGAGTCACTGGACAGGACTGAACACCTGCTTGCGTCCTACCTACCCCGGCTTTACTTTCCCACAGGATTTTTCCTTTGTGCCAATTTTGTCAACTGTATTCTTTGCTTATCTGTGAGGTACCTCAAATTCTTTTTGAAATAAGGAGTGGAAATAAATAACTGATAAAGCCAGCATTATACATGGCCTGGATGTCATGCTTGGCGCTGATATCCAAAGATGGGGAGTGTGTAGTCTTGGCATAGATGCATAGATGTGTGGGCACGTGACCGAGCCACATGTCACAGAGCAGTGAAGGTGTGTCAGATGGATAGAGCGTCCAAGTGGAGGAGGTGGCGGGTAGGTCTTTCGGACGGGCGATACCTGAGTGGAGTTAAAAATGAGCAGTTTGAAGGTGCACACAGTGGGGAAGGGCCACAAAGTCTCCAAGACATGGCACCTGCATGCAGAAGAGTGGGTGTCGGTCATTGGGGAAATTGGGGCAGAGTAACAAAGAAAAGGTAAAAGCACTTTGAGGAAATAACTTCAGTGATAAAGTAATTCATGAAATGTTCGTATCCAACGGTTATTTACTGAACATCTGCTATGCATCTGGTTCCAAATTCTGGGATCCATAGTGAAGAGAACAGAGTTCCTGCCTTCAGGGAGCTTGCATTCTAGCCTGAGCGCTTGGGGGCAGGGACAGACAGTTAACAGAGACATGAATAAAAGCATAGTCATTCCCATGGAGCTAGATGGTAATAAGGCCTGGAGTCTGGGCAGAGACCTAAAGAAAGTGAAGGAGCGAGCCACGTGGTCAGGCAGAGAGATAGCCAGTGCAAAGGTCCTGCGGCAGCGGCAGCAGGTGTGGCATATTCAAGGAACAGCAAGGAGGCCAGTGTGGCTGGAGCAGACAGGATGAGATGGGCATGATTGGAGACAGATCACAGCAGAGAGGCAGTGGAAGGCCAGTCGGGCAGGGTCTTGTGGGCCATTGGAAGGACATCAACTTTTACTCTGAATGAGATGAGAGCTACTGGAGGGTTTTGAGCAGAGGGTGAACCCAGTCTGGCTAACATCTTAGAAGGGGCAAGGGCAGAAGCAGAGAGACTGGTTCTGAGCCTGTTCTGTTAATCCAGGGGAGAGGTGATGGTGGCTGGGGCTGCGCGAGACTCGTGGTGGACATAGAGATCTGGAAAGCCTTACCAACCCTACCACTCGCCCCGGGAAGGGGCTAACATTGTGCTTTCCTCTCTAGGCTAAGTCATCCCAGGGAGCCCCCTGCTGCTGGCACCATGACGGTGAGGGGGGCCGCACTGGCCCCGGACCCAGCCTTGCCCACAACTGCAGCAGCCTCGCCCAGCATCTCTGCCATCCCTGAGGGCAGTCCCACAGCCATGGAGCAGCCTGTATTCCTGATGACAACCGCCGCGCAGGCCATCTCTGGCTTCTTCGTGTGGACGGCCCTGCTTATCACCTGCCACCAGGTACCCAGGAGTCAGGAGCCCCCGAGCCAGAGAGCCTCTAGGGGTCCCCTTAGAAGGACCCTGAAGGAGGTTGCTAGGCCAACAAAGTATTAGTTAGGCTAGGCTGCAGTAATAAATAAACCCCACAATTTCAGGGGCTAAACTTGGTAGAAGTTGATTTCTTGCTCGCATCCCAGCTCAGGGCAGGTTGGGCCTGATTTTGTGGCTCCCACCTCTTGCAGCTTCACGGTTACCCTGGCATCTTTCTTCTGACAAAGGGGTGGGGGTGTGGGGAAGGCACGCTGGAATATTTAACCACCTCGATCCAGAAATGACACTTCTCACTTCTGCTCACCTTCCATTGGCCAGAACTAGTCACGTGGCCCGCCGGAACTGCAGGGGAGGCTGAGAACTGTAGAGGTGTGCATGGGTGTCTGTGACCCCTTCACAGATGAGAAAATTGAGGCTCAGAGAGGAAGGAGGGAGAGGGAGTTTGTTTGGTCACATGTAAGTTGATGGCAGAGCTGGGATAGAAGTTGTCTCCCATGGCCCTGTCCTCACAGTCCCAGGCAAGGCTGTGGTGGGTTAAGCCTTGCCTTCGCTGCCAGAGGAAGGAAGAGGTTGAAGGGTGCTCAGTGATGGGGGTCAAGGGAGCCCGTCCAGGGTCCGCTGTTAGCTCCCTGCTAGCTGCCCCCGCATTTCCTGTCCCTTTTAGAACCATTTGCTTCCATGGTGACTGGATCATAGCAGATGAGGAATATTATGTTCTCTCCCTCCTAGCCCGGGGCTTGGCTGGGCCAAATGTGATGTCATGAGAGCTGGGACGGGGCCTTGGGGCTGCTAGGCTGAGGAGTGTGCTTGGAGCTTTCTTGGCATTTGCCTGTAGCTTTTATTTCCCCCTGCTTTCTGAAAATTGCACTTCATTCTCCCAGCTCCTCAATGAGGCAGGCAGCACTACCTCTGTGTGACAGATGGGGACCAAGCACAGGATGAGGATGTCACTGACCGCACCCCTCGGCCAGGAGGGGCTTCCACATTTCACAGAAATCAGGGTCCTCCCCGCCTGCATATCTCTAAACCAGAGATTAAGAGATGGGGCGGGGGTGCTACACCCAGTCACCCATAGTCTTTGCTCAGTGCTGTTGCTGCAAAACCCTGGTACGCTTTTAGGAAGGCAAAGGGGGAAAGTGGAGGCACCCACATGGTTGAGGGCCATGGATCCCATACGGCTGTGCGTCTGGGTCCCTGTGGGAGCTTGGTCAGCTGTCCAACATTCCCTGGCCTTGTACTCGAGGGTCCGACTTGGACAATCTGGGCACGGTGCTGAGGCCCCGCTGCTGTGCACTCCGGAGGCTTTGTATGCGCCCTGTGATTTGGTTCTCCTAACAACGTATGACGAATTCCCCCAGTCCGCATTTTACAAAGGAGGATTCGCGGCCCAGGGTTAAGTCGCTGGCGTGTGGTCACAGAACTAGAAGTGGCAGAGCCAGAAGTCACAACACACCCCCCTTCCCCTCTGCCGGGCCCCTGGTCCGAGGAGCAGGAGCAGGAGGGTCCTTGGGCGGGTGGGAGCGTGGTGGGTGGAGCCTGGCTGACCCACATCACCCTGCCGCAGATCTACATGCACCTGCGTTGCTACAGCTGCCCCAACGAGCAGCGCTACATCGTGCGCATCCTCTTCATCGTGCCCATCTACGCCTTCGACTCCTGGCTCAGCCTCCTCTTCTTCACCAATGACCAGTACTACGTGTACTTCGGCACCGTGCGCGACTGCTATGAGGGTGAGCACAGGGTGTGGGTGGGGCCCAGGGGAGGGGCAGGGAGCTGGTGGGCCTGGCATCCGCGAGGTGGGCTGCACACCCCTCTGTCCGGTGATGGGAGCCGGAAACCCTTCTGCCTGCTTTCCTTCTGGGGACCTCTTAGCCTCACAGGGACTGCTTTGACACCTCCCTCACTTCCGGGACCCACTTCAAGGTTTCCATCCAGCCCGAATAGACAAACAGCAACAGCACATGTGCAGTCAGTCACCCCTTACAGATGCACTTTGTGATGTGGGCTCCCAAACACCTTCACAGATTGCTGGGGGCTGCACACCTCTACCTGTGTCTGGTTTCTCAGTTCTGGAATCTCTGATGGGGGAGGGGGCAACAAATTAGAGGTCCATTTGTAGATAGAAAACCAAACAGTGAAGGGTTTCTCCAGGGACCTGTGGCAAGTGGATGGTGGGCTGGGCCTCCAGCCTAGGTATCTTCATTCTGAGGGCTTTGTCCCCTGTGGTGCTCTGCTGTGCTGCCATAGAAGGGGGCCGGCTTCCTCTCAGCAGCCTCCTTCTTGTGTGTACTGAGCACCTGCTACCTGTGCTAGGCTTGGGGTTGCAAAGAGGAGAAGCCAGCCCTTGCCCTCCCTGCCCTCCAGGAGTCTGTGGCCACCTGAATGGCCCTGCCACCAGGAGAACAGCTGCCTGGTCGGTGTACAGGCAGAGGGCCTGGTCTGGGAAGGGCTTTAGGGAGGAGGGGACAGTGGACCTGCAGCGTAGAGAATGAGTTGGCACTGGTCAGGTGGGTGCTAGGGATGAGCATTTGTTTTGGGCAGAAAGGAGCGCTAATGTGCAAGATGAGAGGGACTGATAGGCCTGGGCCTTAGGGGTGCCATGTTGAGCATCGGCCAGTGAGGGGAGAGGTCAGTGACCGAGAGGAGATTGTACTGGGTGGCAAGGATGGGGGAACTATGCAGCCTGGCAGTCCATACAGGGAAATTTAGATTTTGGGTTGTTTTTGCTGCTGACAAACAACAATATGACGGGATTGGAAATGGCACCCTGTGTGTGGAGGGTGGGCCAGTGAGGGAGAGGCCAAAGGCCCCAAGACAGGCCACAGGCCAGCAGGTGTGGAGAGGAGGGTCCTTGAATCTGTTTCTCCGAATTACTCTTCAGTTAGCTCAGGACCCTCGCTCTGGTGCCCACCCCCTCAGGCTCATGCTTTCTCCCATGTCCTCCCCACCCTGCACTGCTGGTTTGAGGTAAAGTGACAGATGTGCTTTTCCTTGTGCTGAGGTTGGCAGCTCTGACATGGCCAGCAGGTGTCCTCTTCCCTGACCCAAGGGACTCCCTGTCACTGGGCTCCATGCATGTCAGGGTGCAGCAAGCTTGTCCCCCAAGATGTTCTACCCTCTGTTCTTGTCACCCTTTGACCTTGTGAATCCTGAGGACTCACAGGACACAGGACATGCCTCTGGGTTGATGAGGACGTGGAGGCCATAGCAAGAGCTCACTGCAGCCCTGCCTTCCTCCCCCTCTGCAGCAGCCACCCTGGCTACCTTCTAGCTTGGCACGTCAGGCATTTCCCAGCCTCAGGTCTTTGCATGTGTCCCAGTGCCTGGGGAGCTCAGCTCCTGCCCTTGCCCTCGCAGCTCCTTCTCATCCTTCAGTCTTGCTTTACCCTCCCCTCTGCAGAGAGAGAGGCCTTCCTGTTCTCTGGCTCCCAGCACCCATGCACATCCACACAGCCTTACCATGTGTGCAGTTATTGCACACGTATCATGTGCGTGCTGTTTCATTTCTGTTTTCCCAAGTAGACTGTTGGCTCCGTGAGAACAGGAACCCATCATGTGTGTGGCCTGGCAGAGCCAGCACATGGTAGGGTGCGTTCCAGAGTGTTTGAATGAATAGAGGACTTTATTAAACACCTGCTGTTTACCTGCATTCATCCATGTGGGGCCTCATTGAATTTCCAGGCAACCCTCCCAGCTGGGGTTCCTGTTCTGCTGTTGCAGGGTGGGGACCACTGCTGATGCTCCTGGTCATGGAAGCAGCAGAGTCCCCAAGGACACCTCCAGGCACCCAGAGAGCCGTTAAGGGTGGGACTGGGGAATGAGAGTGCTGAGAATCCTTTGCCATTCAACTGCCAGCCTCGCCTGGGCACTCAGGAGTCTGCTGAGTGGGACTGCTACCCACCTCGTTCCTTCAGAAGCAGAGAGCTGCTCCTCCGAGGGGGCCTCTCCCACGTGGACCATGGGCAAGTGTCAGGCCCCTTCTCTGTTGGCCCCCAGGACTAGGCGTCATGGCAGAAGGGGCACGGGGCACAGCCAGGGGAGCCTCTGGCACTGCTACCAGAAGTGGCAGCAGATGGTCGGTGGGCGCCCCCTCCAGAAGCCTCTTTGTTCAGGCCCACCTGCCCCAACCTTTCCCCGGCCTTCATGTAAAGGTCCTTGAAGGAAGTGGCTGGCCCCATCCTCTGAAGCACATCTCCTAGCACCTGTTATCCCCTCCTGCCTGGAAGTTCGGGCTGCTCCACAGTTTCCTAGCTCTTGGGGCCCGAGTCTGCAGGCTCCATGTCAGCGGGCTCAGTCCTGTCTTGCCCTTTCCAACCTCTCTGCTCTGTGTCTCAGACCCTCACCCACTGTTCTTTTATCTAGCAGTGCCACACAGCTAGCTGTCCCTGCAGAGCTGGTGATGGGGTGTGTCCCTTAAAATTCAAAAAGAAGGGAATACTGGCCCTGGAGAAGGGACAGGTAGGAAGGGGCATTGTACTGGGCTGAAAAGCTGCTGTCCTGATTCCACCAGCCTGTACCAGAGGTCGACTTAGAACCAAGTTTCTTTTGAACAAAATTCTGTTTAAAAAAAAAAAAAAAAAAAACACTAAAATTTTGTTTTATTAAAGTAATTCATGCACATAGTCTGAACACAAAACTGCCCTGACTCCTCCCCACTCCCAAGTTCACTGCCCAAAGGCAATCCCTTTCAGTTCTTTAAGCTTTTTTTCCCTGTCTTAGTCATCTGGTACTGCTCTAACAGAAGTACCACAAGTGGATGGCTTTAACAAAGAGAAATTTATTTCTTCACAGTCAAGTAAGCTAAAAGTCCAAATTCAGGGCGTTGGCTCCAGGGGAAGGTTTTCTCTCTCTGTTGGCCTTCTCATCAATGTTCCCCTGGACTCGGAGCTTCTCTGCACAGGGAGCCCGGGTCCAAAGGACACGCTCTGCACCCAGCACTGCTTTCTTGATGGTATGAGGTCCCCAGCTCTCTGCTTGCTTCCCTTTCCTTTTATCTCTTGAGAGACAAAAGGTGGTACAGACCACACCCCAGGGAAACTCCCTTTAAATTGGATCAGAGATGTGACCTGGGTAAGGGTGGTGTTACAATCCCACCCGAATCATTTTTAATGTAAAATTACAATCACAAAATGGATGACAGCCACACAAATCTGGGAATTGTGGCTCAGCCAAATTGATACACACATTTTTTGGGGGGACATAATTCAAACCATGACACCCCCCCCTAGAATTACCTAAAAAAAAAAAGAGCTTACACTGATGTTTCTTAATTTTCCCATTTTATAAAGTGTTAATAGAGACTTCCTACTATAGAAGGTTTTGATTTAGGTGTTTTACACCCCCCCCCACACACACACACACACACACACACACACATTTTTCTTGCCCTCATCTTTTCAATGTGGTTCTATCACAACTTTTTCTAAGTCTTTTTTTAGCGCTTGCATAATTATATCTCTATAAATATTGTTCAAAGCTAAGCCTTATAATGTCTTACATTTTCTTTTCTTGTACAGCCTTTTGTTTTTACTGTGGTTGCTATTTGTTTGCTCAGTTTTGTGTGTACCTATCATTAATTTAGAAGGAGCCCTGGTGACGCAGTGGTTAAGTGCTCGGCTGCTAACCGAAAGGTTGGAGGTTTGAACCCTTGGTGGTTCGAACCCATCCAGCAGCTCCGACTGAGAAGGACCTGGCAGTCTGCTCCTGTAAAGATTACAGCCTAGAAAACCCTATGGGACAGTTCCACTCTGTCACTTGGGGTCTCTATGAGTTGATGGTACCTGAGAACAGCATCATTAATTTGTTCCCAGTTGCTTCAATGAATTTAAAAAAAGAAAAAAACCTCCTCTCAGTACAATCACGTGGGTCAGTTATCTGTTAGCTCTGGATTTTCTCCCTTGGTGACATTCTTCCTGGAGCTCTTCCCTTCTCACTTCAGTCAGGACTGGCTGCCTTCAAGCCTCTGACCGTTCAGCTGTTGCCCAGCTCATTCATTCACCGTCATCCTGGGAATTCTGTTTGCCTCTCCTGTGCGGAATCACTTGTTCCCTGGATGCCTTTTCTTCCTCTTCCATGGTTTTCCCTCTTTTTGGCTGGAGCACATCTTCCAGTAGTGTCCTAAGAAAAAGGATGGGTTGTACTTTTTGAAGTCTGAAAATTCCTTTTTGTGTATGTGCGTGATCCATAATGTTTTGGTTTTTTTTTTAAATTTTATTTTTGTTGTTGTTGAGAACATACACAGCAAAACATACACCAATTTAACAGTTTCTGCATGTACAATTCAGTGACATTGAGTACATCCGTCGAATTGTGCCGCCATTCTCACCCTCCTTTTCTGAGTTGTTCCTCCCCCATTAACATAAACTCACTGCCCCCTAAGTTTCCTATCTAATCTTTCGAGTTGCTGTTGTCAGTTTGATCCCATATATATAGTTCTTAAAAGAGCACAGTGACCACAGCCTGTATGACCCTAAGACCAGAAGAACTAGATGGGACCCGCTACAGCTACTGACCACTCTGACTGGGATCACAGCAGAGGGTCCTGAATAAAGCAGGATCAAAATAGAGAACAAAAAATCAAATTCACAAAAAAGACCAGACTTACTGGGTGGACAGAGAGTGGAGGAACCCCAAAACTATGGCTCTAAGACACCCTTCTGACCTGGAACTAAAGCCCTTCCTGGAGACCAGCTTTCAGCCAAACCATAGACAGGCCCATAAAATAAACAAT